CCCCCCCACACACACACACACAGAGGACATAAACATTAGAGGCAATGATGCTTCAGCTGAAACTAATAAGCAGCAAATAGACTAAATAAACAGAAGGTAATAAACACTCTGTTGCTGTGACAACTGGTCTATTTATGAGTTCCTGTTGTCCAGCTGTATGCTAACATCCCACTCTCTGCATGACTAATTAAAACCCACCACTGCATCGGTGCATCTTTGATCATTTCACATCACACAACCTGATCTTAGCTCCAGATCTGAAGTTTAAAATGATTCAGTGTTTTTATACATGATGAAATCCAACTATGATCATTTGTTGCGTTACGTTGTTTAAATGTTGTTTAAACGTTGTTTAAACGTTGTTTACGTTTAACAGATTGTTTTTAGTGCAGAATAAACATGGACCTGTCTACTTCTCTTTTAGATTTGACAGTACAGATTAAAATAATCTGGTGTGGGCACCTTCAACATCCTGATCTCCCTCAGAGCGATCTTTTTGATGACGGGGTCGTCGTCAGACTCCACAAACTTCTTGATGGCCACGATCTGACCCGTGTCTTTGTTTCTGCACTTGAAGACCACACCGTAGGATCCCTCCCCAATCTTCCCCATCTTCTCRTACTTCTCCATCCTTGTGCAAAGAAAAGCAACGAGATTAAGAGGCAGGAGAACTACAGGTCCTTCTCAAAAAATTAGCATATTGTGATAAAGTTCATTATTTTCTGTAATGTACTGATAAACATTAAACTTTCATATATTTTGGATTCATTGCATCATTCATCAATATTAAAACAATAAAAGGCTTGAACTACTTCAGTTGGTGTGCAATGAATCTAAAATATATGAAAGTTTAATGTTATCAGTACATTACAGAAAATAATGAACTTTATCACAATATGCTAATTTTTTGAGAAGGACCTGTAATCTGACYGAGAACAGCATCACGCTAGAGGAAAACTCCTGCTTTATAAATCAGACAGCTGAACTGCAGAAAGGTGCAAAGTGAGGAGCTACAGAACTTTACTGTTAAGGTTAAAACAAGCAGAAATGTAACGAAAAGCTAAAATTAGCAAAACTGTGGCTGAAATTTCAACAAACTGAGACAAAAACAGAGCCAGGAGCTAAAGCAGATTTCAGAGAATAAGGCTGGTGAAGAAACTGACAAGATTTAGACATAAACCTGAGAAAAAATGTCTTTACATAAGTTGTCTGATTTTAAAGCATTTCTGCTAATCTCTGAAATAATCCAATCTATTTCTTCTAATCTCTGAAATAATCCAATCTATTTCTGCTAATCTCTGAAATAATCCAATCTATTTCTTCTAATCTCTGAAATAATCCAACCTATTTCTGCCAATCTCTGAAATAATCCAATCTATTTCTGCTAATCTCTGAAATAATCCAATCTATTTCTTCTAATCTCTGAAATAATCCAACCTATTTCTGCCAATCTCTGAAATAATCCAATCTATTTCTGCCAATCTCTGAAATAATCCAATCTATTTCTGCCAATCTCTGAAATAATCCAATCTATTTCTGCCAATCTCTGAAATAATCCAATCTATTTCTGCGAATCTCTGAAATAATCCAATCTATTTCTGCCAATCTCTGAAATAATCCAATCTATTTCTGCGAATCTCTGAAATAATCCAATCTATTTCTGCCAATCTCTGAAATAATCCAATCTATTTCTGTCAATCTCTGAAATAATTCAATCTATTTCTTCTAATCTCTGAAATAATACAATCTATTTCTGCTATTCTCTGAAATAATCCAATCTGATAATCTCTGAAATAATCTAATCTATTTATACAAATCTCTGAAATAATCCAATCTATTTCTGCTAATCTGAAATAATCCCATCACAACGTGTCTGAGTTAAACATGAGCCCAGCTGCATGATGAAGCAGATTTGATGCGGGGATCAAAATGTTTAGGTGAGCTCTGTAAAAGGTGCAGGAGGAGGAACGTTACACCTGCACAGGTAGGCTGCATAATGAAGCATTAGCAATGCAAAGTGGGTGACGTCATTTCCCCGCAGGAACACGAGAGTGAAAACAGCCGAGAAAGTCTGACATCAAATGAGAAAGAAAAAAACATTTCTCTAAACCTGATAGTTCAGGATGTGGTGAGAAAAGAGTAACCTCCTGATCCAACAGAACCTCCTGATCCAACAGAACCTCCTGATCCAACAGAACCTCCTGATCCAACAGAACCTCATGAGCCCAAAACAAGCAGATCTCCAGGGGAACACTTCCTGTTTATGTTTGCAGGATGAAGGAAGTTTTCAGACTTACTGGTCTGCAGATGTTTCTGTGATCGACTCCTGTTCCTCCTTGCAGCAGAGCTGTGAAGCAGACAGACTCTGCTCCACATCTGCAGCATGTTTTCATCACCAAGTCACACAGACTCAGCTTTACTTCCTCTGAGGATTTTCAAAATAAAGTCCCTCTCTTGTAGTTTCTTTAACAAAATTCTGCAAGCTGGTGATAATAGACCTGTTATAAACATGTGTTCATCTGTTCTATAAGACCAGCTTAGAAACTTCTGTACACAGGTAAAAAAGATTATTTATATGATTTTATAAAAATAAAGGCTAAATCAACCAGTGGGTCATGAGATGTTGTGCTAACAGACAGCCTGTGTTTCATATAGCAGTTCATAAGTTTTCAACATGGAGCAGTGTGTATGGAAAGCCATCGCTGACAAATCCACGTGATCATTACGCGTCCATTTGACGCGTAAATGACGCGTCAAATGTGCTTCGAAATTTAACACGTTGTTGTCGCGTCAAAAACGTGTAAAACTACGTGCCAACAACGTGTAAACTATGTGTCAACGTGTAAACTACGTGTCAGCAACATGTAAACGACGTGTAAACTATGTGTCAAAAACGAGTAAAACTACGTGTCAGCAACATGTAAACGACGTGTAAACTATGTGTCAAAAACGAGTAAAACTATGTGTCAGCAACATGTAAACGACGTGTAAACTATGTGTCAACAACGTGTAAACTATGTGTAAACTATGTGTCAACAACATGTAAAGTACGTGTCAACAATGTGTAAACTATGTGTCAACAACGTGTAAACTATGTGTCAACAACGTGTAAACTATGTGTCAACAACATGTAAACTACGTGTCAAAAACATGTAAACTATGTGTCAACATCATGTAAACTACGTGTTAATAACATGTAAACTGTGTCAACAACGTGTAAACTATGTGTCAACAACGTGTAAACNCATGTAAACTATGTGTCAACATCATGTAAACTACGTGTTAATAACATGTAAACTGTGTCAACAACGTGTAAACTATGTGTCAACAACGTGTAAACCACGTGTCAAAAACATGTAAACTACGTGTCAACAACGTGTAAACTACGTGTTAATAACATGTAAACTACGTGTCAACAACGTGTAAAGTACGAGTCAACAACGTGTAAACTATGTGTCAACAACGTATAAACTACTTGTCAACAACGTGTAAACTACGTGCCAAAAAATGTGTAAAATATGTGTCAACAACGTGTAAACTATGCGTCAAAAACGTGTAAACGACGTGTCAATAATGTGAACTATGTGTCAACAACGTGTAAACTATGTGTCAACGACGTGTAAAATACGTGTCAAAAATGTGTAAACTACATGTCAACAATGTGTAAACTACGTGTTAATAACATGTAAACTATGTGTCAACAACGTGTAAACTACGTGTCAACAATGTGTAAACTACTTGTCAACAACGTGTAAACTACATGTCAACAACGTGTAAACTACGTGTCAACAACGTGTAAACTATGTGTCAACAACGTGTAAACTATGCGTTGGCGCGTACTTTACACATAGTCAACGAGTTAAAAACGTGTCAAATTTCGACGCATCAACAAAGCGCGATTGACGTGTTGTTGACGCGTTATTTGCGCGTCATTTACACAATGATAACATGGATTTGTCAGCGGTAGCTTTCCGTAAGTGTGTGCACTCTTTTAACTGTTCATGTATCAAAAATGTTTATCATTTTTAAAAATATTAGTTGAAAACTATTTTCCTCCTAGAAATAGTCCTACTGAGAGATATTTTTGATTTATATCAAAACATTGTTTTCTTTTAGTTAGCACTTTATCACTCTTAGCTTGCTGTTTGCTCATTTTTATATTTTAGCCAAACAGTTGCTGCTTTTATGTTGTGTTTTGTCGTTTTATTTAGCTTTTTTCTATATTTAGCGATTGTTCTGGACCTTTTGGCTTTCAGGCAGGCTTTTGATGCTTTTAGCATTGATCTACTCTTCTGCTATTTATAGCTTTTAGCTAATGTTTCAGCTTAAACAACTCACTTGTTTCACACAGCCTTTTCACACAAACTGCAATTTCTGTAGTTGATTTTCTTCTTGTTTTGTTAACATATCTCCAAATCTTCCTCAGTTTTTTGTTTACGTCTGCTATAATCAGTTCAGGGAGGTTTCTTGTTTCTCCAGAAAGATGATTGAAATAAAATCAGTTTGTTGTAAACCTGCCGGACACACATCACACATGTTCTGAGGTCAAACCAGCTGCTTTAAACTTATAAATATTAATTTATGTTCAGACTCTCTGATGCTAAAAACATCCTTTGATGAACAAACTGGTGAAGTCAGGAACAATCATTCAGCCTGAATCTTTTTACAAACTTCTTGCCTTTTAGCTCTTTAATTTGTCCAAAAATGTATTTAGAAATAATAAAATTATTAG